TAAGGTAGCCCAATACAATCAGCACACAGCATGTACCCTGAGGTATTGAATCGAACCTCTTTGACTTAAAGAGAGTTATTTTTGTTTTTGTTTCCAAAAGTTTTGCTGTTGTTGATAGTGGTGGTGGTGTGGCAATCTTTTGCTTGTTTGTTGGGCTTCTATCTTTCTATGGTCATGCAATAGAATTACTATTGTCAATGATGACCACAGAAAGATAGAAAGCTGTTGCCGGGGCTTAGGGGAAGAAATGATGGCCTAATCCAGACTATCACTGAAGCCGACAATTCGATGGAACCTATCACGTAGCATCTGCACGTGAGAGAAGAGAGTATTCTGATTCCAGTCTGAACTTTTCTTAGATAGGGGCAAAGGCGAAGGTAAGAGGAAGCAGGGGAAGAAGAGGAAATCTGAACAGAGAGTACCCCCTCGCCTGTGAACTGCCACTTTCTAGGGAGATTTTATTTGCAAACTCCAAACACTTTCTTCAAATCGCAGGCACATTTTGAGTCCCAACAATGTGTGGCTTACAGAGCAATTTGTAGTCATGGTTTCTTGTACAGAATGATGTTTAAGAGCATCTTGTAATCAGGTCAAAGGAAAACAGTGTTTATTCTATGAGCTGAGGATAGGCTGCACTTCTGAGTTCTAATTAACACAGTGGTTGATTCTCTAATGCCAAGTGTCTGTTGTTAACGAAGGCATTAGGGCTGTTCCACAGGTGACATTTTGGAAGGGACTTCTTTACAACCGCAGTTCACTTGGGTAGACTCCGATGGAATTCATACCCCAGTCCAGTCTGGTGAACTGTGTACCTGTTTACACGCTCTTGGGAGAAAATGGATTTTCCCTAACAAATGTGTATAGGAAGGCCTCTGGAAATATGCAAGTAGTCACAGATAAAAGGATTAGGTCAAGCATTCTGAGCAAGTATGAATAGCAGTGGGGTTTAAGAGAGAAAGCTCTGTGCTAGATTACAATCGACTTAATCAGAGCCCTGGAGAAATGAGAGTCAGAGGAGGCTGAAGCAGGAATTCCATGCTTTCTTTCTGAAGAGTTCAGACTTTTGCTGAAATGCTAATCATGAAAAAAATCTCCTTGGGAACCTGTGACTTTCCAACTTGTCCCAGGCCCAGGGAGATTTTTAATGCTGTGACAGTTATGAAGTCCTTTTCTGGTAAAGCTCCATGATCCTGTGAAAAGTGTCAAAGGAGATTAGTTAAGGAAAAAAGGAAAATTCACCTTGTACCTTAGAGTTGAAGACTGGAGTAGAAAATTAACCTTAGTCACTCCAGTGTGGCAGAAATGCTATGTCTTTCTGTGGCCAAAATTCCTTAGCCCATTCTTGATAACACATCCAACATACACACGCACACACACGTACACACACACACACGTACACACACACATGAATTTCTTGTAGTTTTTCTGCTGTGTGTGTTTCCTTTCTGATGTTTCTTTTCTTCTTCTTTTTTTTTTTTTTTGAGTTGGAATCTCACTCCTTTGCCCAGGCTGGAGTGCAGTGGCATATATGCTCACGGCCACCCCAGTGTCGACCTTCTGGGCTCCAGCAATCATTCTGCCTCAGCCTTCTGGGGAGCTGAAACTACAGACGCGTGCTACCATGCCCAGCTATTTTTTATTTTATTGTAGAGACGAGATCTCGCCAAGTTTCCCGGGCTGGTCTTGAACCCGTGGGCTCAGGCAATCTGCTCGCCTCGGCCTCCCAAAGTGCTGGGATTACAGGCTGAGCCACCGAGCCCGGCTCTGATGTTTCTTTATATGGGAGGCAGGTAAAGAGAGAAAGGGTCATTTAAGTGGATGTAATAGGCTGCATTTTAGAAACTTAATGCACCTGCAAAAGGTTTATACCCAGATGTCACACAGCTTTGATATCACTAAGTTTAGACATCAACCCATACTAAACCCATCCTCATCCTACCTTTCCCTCCTGTTGTCTACTCCCATGCCTTCCTTCCATTTACTACCATCTATTACCTTCTTCCTCTTGAATGAAAACCGCCTTTGGGATAATTTTCTTTCTCTATCTGTCTTGGTTCTGTGATTGGTACGAAAGGACTGGAGAAAACATCCCATGGAGAATATAGCTCTGGCCAGGTGCGGTGGCTCATGCCTATAATCCCAGCCGAGAGAAAGGAATGCCTTTTTGGGAGGCCGAGGGAAAGGAATGCCTGAGCCCCTGAGACCAGCCTGGGCAACTTGGTGGGACCTCATCTCTACAATTAAAAAAAAAGAAAAACTAGCCGGGCTTGGTGGCACATGCGTGTAGTTCTAGCTACTTGGAAGGCTGAGGTGGAAGGATCACCTGAGCTTGGCAGGTCGAGGCTGTGGTGGCCGGGAGCATGCCACTACCCTCCAGCCTGGGCGACAGAGTGAGACTCCAACTCAAAAAAAAA